CACAAAAAGGGAATCCCAAAAGTTCCCCCGGGTGCGTCAGATGCCCAGGCGCAGAGTCGGGCGCAGAACGGCCACATCGTCTTCGTGTCGCATTGCTGGAGTGCGCCTGTGGGATGGGCGAGGAGCCCCAGATGCGCTGCTGGCAATGCCATGGTGGCTGGTCGAGCCCCCGATGTGGGAAAATCCATGCGAAAATCATGGGAAGATTCAATGGAACATGATGGAAAATGCCATGAGGCCATGATTCAAATCCTGGAACTGGTTCAGAAGAACATCTGAAGGAAACTCCTCATGATGGTTCGAGGAAGGATTTGTTATTTTCTTGGAGATATTCAAAATCCACCCAGTGACAGGCAAAGATGCATGATGGTCCCTTCAAAAAAATAATACCCCAAAGTGGATGGGTCAGCACAAAAGTGACTAAAGATTACAATTTTTGTGGGTCAAACGGTATCCCAATCTTTGAGCTATACAAGGTGCTGTTCCCCCAATCATGTTTGTTGGTGGCAAACCAATTTACTATAGTTATCTTGTTAATGATATCTACCATAAACCAACACACACAACCAATTCTTAAGACATCTAACCTATCTATCGGCTATAAATCAACATGTTTTCTCCGTTATACCTTCTCATTTTCATCAATGGGTAGCACCAATCCAAAAGTATACTTACAGTTGTGGCCCGAAATACTAGTTATAAGTCAGCAAGTCACCCCATTTACAAACAAATATCACCATAGACGTAACTCATAATTTGTAACCTTAAACATCACCATAAACTTCATAGGGGCTGCGCGACTTTTTTGGAAACACATGCCAGGCGGAGACCATTCCGAATCTCACCAGCTTTTCGTGTCTTGTTTGGGACTTCTGTCCCGGTGGATGTCGGGACAGCTTCGGAAGATTTCCTACAACCATGATGGGTAATAGTATAATAGTCGATTAATGTCGTTTACACTATTGCTAAAATGATCTAAAATCTATATATATATAGATATCATAATATACTATAGTATCGTAATATGTATGATATTAGTGTACACTATTACTAGTTCTCGAAACCTTGAATGGAGGTGAACAGAGGCCGGGTGGAAAGGCAATCGGCACGACTAAGTCGCGGATTTATAGGTCAAGCGGAGCTTGAACTTCACCAATTGCAAGAAATAAGGATGTTATTCCATTGAAGTATAGTCGATGTTGATGTGGAAAATGGACTGCAATGTAATAACCGTGTCTCAAAGATTTATACTATGCTCACATGACATGACATGAGTGTAGTGAAAGGTATTTTTTAAAAAAATGCTATTCTCATGTCATCTGCCAAGTGCACTTTTTTTGACACAAAAAAACGCACATGTCATCTGCTTTAGGTACCAAAAGTACCATACGTATTTTTTTGCGATAGGTTTGTGTGTTTCGCCCGCCCTCCGAAACATATGAGCTCATGACATGCAATCTCCAGCCCACCTGAAAAAAAAACACCAAAAACATGTGAAAAAAACATGGGTTTGCCCTATGACACCTTTCATTCACATTATATTCACCTGTATGTCATGTCATCACATATAGGGTTGCGCACCAACAATACAAAAACAACATGCACGCGCGCAAAGCAATGTTAAAATGATGAAATTGGTGGGGAAACCTCATGACGTAATGAAAGAATAAAGAAATAGGTGGGGCCGACTGCACCCCCTCTCCCTCCTCCCGTCCCCTCCACGGGGGTTCCTTTTTGGCATGTTTTTTGTTTGATGGGTTTTAATGGACGATTTGGCCTTCAAGCAAGATTGCAGACAAACAAAAACAAAAAAAACATCAGGGAAGACGGAAACAAAATTATATTGTAAACGTACTGGGTAAAAAATCCCCAATTATTCCCATGTCATATGCCCCATATATATATAATTATATATATATACAATGTGAGGCCCCGCAGTTATGAGCGGGTTTATAAACCCCAATAACTATATATAGTCTTATGATGTCTTATGATTATCATAAACCATGGTAAACGTGGAGTTATTGGCACCAATTTGGCAATAAATGGAGGCCCCACTTTGAAACTGGGCATCATCCTGATGACATTCTCATGGCTCCAGCTCTCCAGATGTGGTTTGCACGGTGCTCTCGTTGTTTTTGTTTCCATGCAGCAGTGCATGTTTGTTGATTGAAATGCAAAATCCCTTCCAAATTCCTGGTTTAGTAATTGATCATAGATGATCATAGATGATCATAGATCTATTCATGCTGGGAGCCCCATATTGGGCGTCTTGAATAAGGGGGAGAATTGGGATCAGCTACAAATCATGCATACAATGTGGGCCCCCCAGTTATAAGTCGGTTTATAAACCTCAATAAAGTAGTCAGTATAGCATGGTATGATATGGTATAGTATAGTACTGTATAGTAGTGTATAGTATTAGTATTAGTATTAGTATCAGTATCGTATTAGTATCAGTGTTAGTATTAGTATAGTATAGATATAGTATAGTTATAGTATAGTTATAGTATAGTTAGTATATCGTTATAGTATGGGTATAGTATAGTTATAGCATAGTTATAGTATGGTTATAGTATAGTTATAAATAATTATAGTTATAGGTATAGTTGTAGCATAGTATAGTATAGTATAGTTTAGTTTAGTTTAGTTAGTTATAGGTATTATAAAACATAGTACTGTAATTGGAGCTATTGGCACCAACTCACCTATCGTAAACGGAGGCCCAGTTGGGCAAAAAACGTCGCTGCTATACTGCACGGCAGCCGTGACCCGTGATTCGCCAAGGCAGACGAAAGCAGCTGCGACTTGCCAAAAATAAAGATGTTGGGGTTGGAAACAACATTTGAGTTTCAAATCTTTAATGGATTGATTCACTGGCAATTCAACCGATAGCTATTGAACATCACTATTAATAGGTTGGTTTACTTTGTATGGAAATTCACTATAGCTACTGAAAGTCACATTTTTGTTCAAAGGTAAATCATCAATTTCCATTGCGCCAAGGGGAAATGCCGCCAGGGCAAGGGTTGTTGCCTTCCTGTGAATTTGCCGACCTAGGCATTGCACGATTTTTGTTGACCACTGCAACCAAACCACTATCGCATGGTTGATTCAAATTCAAACCCGTCCAGGTCAGTCTTTTTTTGTCAACAAGCACTTCTGGCAGAGAATGTGACTTTCCATTGATGGTTATCATTATCCTAATGCTTTTCTGGGCACAGTCTTGGTAAGGAAAGAATGGTAATGACACGCAGGGTAGTGCCCGTCATTCATAAGTTGTTTTGTAACCACATCCAACTTTAGCAACTTTAGTATAGGATATATCCACACCATGTAAAACCCTAGTACAGCTTCTTGCATCACCAACAACAGGCTGGTCAAAAGACACTGCGTATAGCGGTGACAAAATCATAAACCAACTGATGGCCAATCACAACATTGCTACAATGTAGGCCCCCCCGGTGATGTTTGTTGCTTTACAAAACCCCAAAACTATAGTTATAAGTTATAAGTATCATAAACCATAGTCAGTTGAGTTATTGGCATCAACTTCGCTATCACAAATCAGCTGTAAATACCCATGATGTTCCTGTTTTTCCTGGTTCAACCACCATTTTCCTATAGTTTTCCTCTGGTTTCTCCCGAAATTGCTGCCGAGGAGCTCTGTGACTACGCCAAAGATGTCTCAGCTCAGCTGCAGCTCTGGCTCAGATGCAGATGTTTATTGGTTTAAACCATACAATTATGGGCCCAACAGTTACTGTATACATGGGTTCCTTCAAGATATATATATATAATACTTAGTTACAGGAGCTATATATATATATATATGTTCATCTATAACATTTTGTAACTGTCAATGGCCATGACTGTAGGAAAACCATAGGAAAACCATAGGAAAACCATGGGAACATTGGGATTTAAGCCCATGTTACCAGTGATTTTTATGGGATTTACAAAGGGTCAATAGTATTTGATACAATTCTATACTTGGAGGATCATCCCACTTGTTCACAGAGATTTTTATGCTTAAACCATCTTAAACCAATGGGGTGACTTACTGACGATAAATGGGAGGACTTATATACTTACGAACTGAAAACTGGTACGGGGGACCTACTGACCTACAACTGGTATTTCGGGCCGTCTCCGGATTTGCAACCCATCCTAAGCATGAAAGAATCTTGAGTAGGACTTCGGTGTTGCTTACTGGCAGCGCACCTGTTTCCTTCATATACAATTGGTGGGATGCTGCCAAAGAGCAATTGAACAAGATGGGGTGATTGGCCTCCCCTCCAGAAGCCAGAACATTTGAAAGGGCTTTTTCGTATGGCTTGACGGCTTACACCATGGAAAACCATCTAAAGTTTTCCATGTTTTCAAATCGCTACCCGGCGGACACGGGAGTAGACATGAGACTTGCTGCATCGTTCTGCTTAAATTCCAATTCCACCCCCAAACACGGCTGGGTTCCAAAAGTGTCGGGACTCTTGTCATTGACTGAATCGGACACTGTTCCATGGCAGGTTTCTGTCAGCCATTGTCAGCACGTTTCGCCAGATTTCTGCCCATTTGCCTGATGTTTTTGTGAAACTCATGTCCTGCGCCAGATAGATACATGATGATACATGATGATACATGTACCTTGCGAGCTGACCACGCGGCCTTGATGAATCGCTTATTTGACCATGCTTCACTTCAGCTGGATGGGATGCAGCCGCAGCGCAAATCAATGGTCATGAACTGGATAGCACGTCCTGCGGTTAGGCACTCCTTCAATTTGGTTGGTCAACTCGGAACTGGCCAGAAGCCTCAAAAACTTGCCGTACATGTCACCCGCTCATGTTCAGTATCCCAGTTCTTCAAGCTCTTAAAGCCACCTTTGATATGCTATGATACGTAGTTCAATACACTATTCTTCCCAATTATAATGAGTTTATATACCCATATATCTCCACCTGGCATTTTCTGCAGTACGAAGACGCTTCCGTGCCAAGGTACGAAGACGCTTCCGCCTGGCAAAAGATTGGCTTTTGGATCGACAAGGTGAGCTGAGCGATGATCCAAACTCCGAAAGCGACTTGTTTATTTGTTTCTGGTTCAACCGGCTGGTTAGATACGAACTAGTACAACTGAATATTCTGCCATCGAAACATCAGGCCTAACCAGCAACACATTAGATTTTTGTGGTACCTAAGATTCACCATGGTTTGATCATGGGAATAAAAAAAGGATATGTTGGGTGAAACACACACACACACAGAGAGCGCAAACACAGGGATATAATGGGAACATAATCAGACCTAGCCTAACTTTGATTAACTATGATGAACTAGTTTCAGTAAGATGTTGTAGCAGATGTTCCCTTAGCTTTAGGACGTTCGCGTCAGCGACAGAGCTATGTTTTCAAAAAATATATATATTTTTTTTTAATGATTTATTTATGATATTTTAATGAATGCAATTTATGTTTTGTTTTTTTTAATGATTTGATTTTAAGGGTAAATTTCACTTATGTTTTTTAAATGTTTCACTTATGTTTTTTAATGTTTTTTTTTGTGTTTTTTTAATGATTTTTTTCTATGGCTGCAATGGTATTTGACAATAATTTTGCACAAACCTCTCTGTGCCACTGCAGGGTAGGAACTTGGAGGTTCAAGTTTTTATATAAAATTTATGTTTTTTTTTTGATTTCTTGATGGGTTCCAAGGGTTTTGGCAAGGTTCCAGCCTCCAAGTGGTGCAAAATGCAGCAAAATCAATGGTTTTCCTTAGTTTTTCAAGGTTTCACCAAGCAAAATGATAGAATTCCTTGGAAGGTTTTGGAAGGAAACCAGGTGGAACTCATTAAAAAATATATATATATATATAATTTATTTTTTTTTATGATTTGTTTAATGATTTTTTATGGTTTCCAAGGGTTTTTGCAAGGTTCCAGCCTCCAAGTTGCAAAATGCAGCAAAAACATATGTTGAAAAAAACATTAAAAACACATAAATGAAATATACCAGTAAATTGAATTCATAAAAAAAAACATATATTGAATTCATAAAAAAACATTAAAAAAACTATAAAATAATAATCCTTGATTTTGGGCTTCTCCCTAGTTTTGAACGCCTTAACCTTAGCTTTAACTACATAAAGTATATAAATATATCTATCCCATCAATATCTCTATTGATACAATATTTGAAACAGCATGGATAGGTAGCCCCTTAATCAGCGACATGGTAATTGAATGACTATATATATATATGTATATATATATATACACAGTAGGCAATAAGTTAAATGATATCAATAGGTGAACATCAGAGTAGGTTTGTATGGTTATAATGTTCATGTATGTTTTGTATAACAGGTATAGTTATAAGATGTTTATACATCATAACATCAATGTTAAGGTCATATCTACGTTGACCCCTCGGAGAGTGCCAGGCCTGTATCCCACAGGGCGATCCAGATGCCTGGCTGGGAAGTTATCTTTTTGAACGGCCGACATGTGGGATGGTTCAGCAAGCCACGTTTTACTACTACCCTCTGGTTATTTAACATAGCCATGGAAAATAGCTCATTCATAGATGGTTTGCCTATCAAACATGGTGATTTTCCATGGCTATGTTGAATAACCAGATGGTAATGAATGGGTAGCCCATGGTAAATTAAGACAGACCCTCAAGATCACTAACATCACCAATTTTGAGTGGAAACGAATTTTCCGACCCAATTTTGAATGGCAGGGTCGATGTCAATTTACTGGAGGGCAACTTAAATGGCGGATTGAAGTGGGATACTGCGGTATAACCAACCAAACATGGGGATATGTATATATTCACCACGGTGCTGGTAGACTTCCAACGGCCCTAGACTTCCAATTACCTCCGAGATGGGCAACTGTTGAGTGATGCTTCTTTTTATTGTCTTGGTTATTTATTTGACAAGTAACTTGAATGAGAGGGTGTGTGTGTACTATATATATATATGTGTATATTTACATACCGCCTAAAGTGACACTAACTATTTACTTTAGTGACCACAAACTAAGGATTCACTCAAACTATCATTGACAGTTTGATATCCCAGAACATGAATCGTTCACCCCTTATCACTGAAAGCACAAAATGAATGCATGCTCCATATTTTTTGCAAAGCTTATTGGAATATCAGATACAGTACTGTATATCATCCCTCACAAAAGCCTCCCAAAGGTATTTCAAAATTGATATAACATGTTCATTAGCGATTGGTTATATTAGTTCTAGCCCAATTGTTGTTGGTTCAACATTTACAAACAGAAACATACAGTTCTGTTTTTTTTTACCAGTTTTGAAGTCAGTAAGTCACCCCATTTATTGTTTATGATAGCCCCACAAGCAACAACAATCACTGGTAGTATGAAACCACGCCACGCCGCTAGGACATGATGTCGCTCTGTGTGAATCTTCTGGAGGAGTTTATTGCTCTGTCGGAAACCTGCCGATGTTCTCGCGATGGCTAACTCTAAGGCTACAAGGTCCTGCCCCTGTTACAAGTTGCTGTGTAAACCCCATGAATAGTATAGATATATGCAGTAATAAACCGTTGTTATAAGAGTTATAAACCAACTTAGCTATCTAGGGGGCACCACGTTGTAAATCCAAAACATTTTACGGTGACATAATGGGAATGTACCCTTCTGCAAACCAACATAGATGTGGAAATCACACCATTTGTGTGACATGTTGTCCCATTATATTCCGTTATATTCCATTATGTTCCATTATATGCCATTATATATACCATTATATTCCATCCATAATATATATATATATATATATCCCATTACCCCGATGTGGTAGAACATGTTTTTTTTGGGGATGGGTGCCCCTGTAGTAATTGACAATTTTTCTGGAAGACCCACCAGAAATGATTTTCCCTCGAATGTTCCAACCAGCCATGTTTGACGGGTACCACTGCTTGGACTGGAAATTTACCCTCTGGTTTCTACGTATATATAACTATGGAAAATCACCATTTTTGATCGGTAAATCAACTATAAATGACCATGTTCAATAGCTTTTTGTATGTTTACCAGGCCGGGTATTCATAGGGACATTGTCGCCATGGCATCATGGTTCCAAGAGGGTAATCAGCATCAAAAAAGTGGTTTCATGGCCATTTTTTGATGAATCCAAACAGAAGTTCCATGATTTTTTAATGATTTTGCACATGCACCTTATAGGCAAATAGTTACCACTGGATGATGTGATTTGATGAACTATTTTAAAATGATTTTGGCTAACATTAGGCAACTATTTGAACAATTCCAAACATACCACTGGCAGCTTGGCAGGGTGGGTTCAGCCACAGTGTAAGCCAACTTGTGCTTGGCAATGAACCATGATGTTTGTGCAACAAGAGTCGGTAGATCCGTTCAATGGCCCATCCAGGCATCTGAAATTGAAGGACTGTACCGTACAACGCCATGTTTGAGGTGGGGTATTCCATTACATTGCCGTATAGATCGTATAGGGACCTTACATTTGCTATAATGTGGGAATTACCACTCATAAGTTGGTGTATAAACCCACCTCACTAGTTCGATATGATATATCCATCATAGATCCTGAAGATTCAGCTCTTGCAGGCTAAGCATCGTAGGTATCTCCACATGAGCTGTTCGTTCCTGCACTTCTCTTTGATGCTGAGGATGGTATGATTGTTTTGGCGTCTTGGAACTATTTTTCCAGGCAGATGTGCTGTTTTCCAGCACGGACCAGAAGTCAAGCAAATGGCCCAATGGCCCAGTGGCCCAATGGCTATGTTTTTGGGATGACAAGATACCCATCATCACTAGGCATTTTGAGGCAACAAGCGGCCAGTCAGCCTTTTCCAATCCCATATTGCCTCGACTTGTTGTGACAACGCACCACTACTTCATGTGTATTGGTACTTGGCAAGAAAATACCTCGTGGAAACAAATGGTTACATGTGGTTCCATGTGATTTCACCGATTAGATAACATGAAGATATTATTACTATTTTTGTTATTATTATTACTATTATCCCATCTGATTATTAGCCCACTATTATTATCCCAGTATTGTTGCCCCACGATTATTTTCCCATAATCATCCCATTAAATCACCATTAATATGTACTAAAGGCATCTAAAGTCAATAGCCTCATGAATCGACTCTGTCAACGTTTACCGTTTACCGTAACTCTGAGGATCAGGACGCTGTCCAGTTCTCGTTGATTCACAAATATCACAGTAATTCACAGTATATCTAGTGCAAAGATATGCGCTTAGCACAATAAATCCAGTGGTAAAGCCAGTTATAAAGTTGTTATAAACCAACAGATCCAACAGGAACCTGTCTTGAAAAAAAAACGCGTTGTAGATTCATAGATTCATCTGCATCATGGTGATCTCACGTCGTTTTCCGTCACTGGAATGATGGGAATTGGATTCGGGGAATCGCCAAGTGGTCGCAAGTTCCAGCTATTTTAGCTTGGTGAGTTTTAGAACTTTAAATTCAGCTAGATGTGTAAATCATTCAGAGCATATCTATAATATGCATGCACTATCATTATAATTACTGTTGTAGGTTCCCAAATCCTTAACCTTCAACTCCACCACCACCAAGTCGCACCTGCTTGTCGTTCTTTTCCAGGGTGCTATGGCTGCAAGTCAGCAGCATTCGGACTTGATTCAAAAGCAGCTTCGGTGACAGCCGCAAATGAAAAACAGCTGAGTCTGAATTGATATGGAAAATGGGGGTTGGAATGCATGTTATGTACTCTGAACACAGCACTCCCCCTTTGAAGTAGCCGTTAGGCACTTCAACCAAAATACATTCGGCCCAGCTCAAGCTGCTATATTCAAGTACCTTCAAGGCATGCAGTGCAGAGTGCAAAAGTGGAAGCCCTTTCAGCTTCTTCACACGTCACATCAGTATGAAAATCGATCTCTCGGCCGCTGATCAGCACTGCAAATCCATGCCCAGGAATTCTTCCAGTCTGGGCTGCTTCGGCTCGACACTTGGTGCACCACCGATGGAGTCGCGCATGTCCAGTCATTGGCGCAGTGAGATACCGGCAGTCCAACCGATTATGGTACACGGTTCCATGCCGCGTAGTGATCACTTCGAAGGGCAGGAGTGGTAGCGCTGGTTCAGCTTGTGGAGGATTCATAGGTCCCAAAATGGGATGTCCCGGCTGAGCATTGGTGAGCTCATCACGAACTCGATCTTCTTCTCTGAGAATTTGATTCCACTCAGCCTCGTAGTTAACCATCGTCGCATCATGTTGGCGAAGCATCTCGAGAGCAGCGGCTCGTTCTTCTTGACTTTGAAAAAGTGCCGATGTCTCATGCCCAGGAATCGTTCCAGTCTGGGCATCGCGATCGTTAAACCCAGGAAATGTTCCAGTCTGGGTCATTCGTGAGTCGGATCCAGGAATTATTCCAGTCTGGATCACCTCGGACTCAGGCCCAGGAAATATTCCAGTCTGGGCCACGTTCGCAATATACCCAGGAAGAATTCCAGTCTGGGTAGCTTCTGATTGTAAAACCACGTTGATCGCCTGTTCTGGTCGCGGAGCTTCTGATGTTGAGGGCGGATCTTCAAGAATTGGAAGCGGAGCTTGAGGTGGTACTTGATCACCATCATTTGAGTCGGTGGACCGGCTTTCATTTGATGCCGGGAGCGATTCAGATTGATCTCCTTCGGGGATCTCTTCCTCCTTTCGCACAGCGTTCATGGAGAGTCTTCCAAGGTTGGCCAAAACATACTGTCGTACGACGATGACCCCTCGTACTGCTGCATTCCAGATTCGCTGCGCCACCAACGTCAAAATGATGATGCCCAAGGTGTAGGCAATGATGACCTCAAAAGGATAGTTCTCTTCGTGCTCCTTCTCCCCCTCTTCCGCTTTGGCTGCAGCAATTGACGCTGCAAGAGTGATCAGCCTCAAAACTTGGGCTGCTTCCGCGACTTTGGTCTTTTCCTTGGTGGTCAAAAGACCGTCCTGCTTTTCTCCTTCTTTCTTTTCTTCAACTTCCATACTTTTCACTTCATCTTTGATTACCAGTTTTCCCATCCCCATCAACTTTTTGAGGAACTCAAGTCGTGCCGCTGTGAGTGGCTTGGTGCCGATGTCGGCAATCATGAACTCACCAGCCACATGCTGAATGACCCATTCACCCGCAAGGATCGACTGCCTTGCGAAGGAGCACCTCAGCCTCAAATGGCGGGTTCGCCAGTTACCACCATCGTTGGACAAGATGGCAAGTGCTGACTGGCTGTCAGTTTTGAGAAGCTTGTGGACCACAGGGAAGAGCTCTGCCAGGATCACGTAGATCGATTCACCAGCTATCATGCCCTCCACGATCTCAGTGAGCTCTGCTTCAGCAGTTGAGAGCGTGATGTAGCTCTGGCGGCCCGACCTCCAGAAAATTGGAGTTGTGCCCTGCAGGACCACAAATGATCCATGGCTCTCCTGTGCATCCGGCGCAAAACCTGCATCAGTGTACACCGTCAAAACGGGGCTTTCACCTTCTTTCACATTGAACATCAACCCTTCATCTGAAGTGGCCATCAGGTAGCCTTTGAGCTGGAGTGCGGCTGCCAAAACGGCATGTGGTGCCCTCGTGGATGATGAGCCCATGCGGCTTACAGCGTACATGATGTCTGGCCGTGCCCGGGTTGTCAGCCACAAGACTTCGCCAACAGCTTTTTGGCAGGAGCGGATCAGCTCAGGTGTGATCTCAGCCTCATTTGGTTCCATGGCTGATTGATCTCTGGTCCAAGGGATCCGTTTTGGCTTGACTTCAGGATCCTTTTGTGTGAGGTCTTTGGTGTAGGACTGCTGCGTCACCATCCAAACATCTCTTTGAAACTCCTCTTTCCATTCTTTTGAGATCTCCATTCCCAGAAATCTGACAGGTTCCGGGCCGACAAACTCTGGTGTTGAAGTGGTCCATGTCGATTGGATCTTGGCCTGCATGGCTTGGAGTAAGTTTGGAGATGATGCCAGCATCAGGTCATCCACGTACGTCATCAAAAGACCATACAGAGTGGTGTCTTCTGGTTCAAGGGCATTTCGCAGTTTCCACAAGTTGGGTTCGGACTGCAAAGGCTCCAGCATGAACTCCATGTGCTTTCCATTGTGCTCCCCCTGGATTGAGAAGTCAGAGATGGTCTCATCCCTGGTGAGGCCCCACAGTCTTGGAGACCGTCGCAACCCATAGATCGCTTTTTCAGGCAGGTAGTAGACATCTCTTCTCAGGTACTTCTTCTCGACCAGGAGAGCAGGAGGTTTGATCAGGATTGGATCCTCATCATCGGCCAATACCATCTTGGCGTTGAGGAAGGCTGTGCGCACATCGAGAGTTGAGGCAACCCATTGGTAAAGTGCGCAGCACCAACAGAGAATGCGCAGGGCGGAGGCATCTGCACCTGAACTGAAGTTATCCTCCTGTTCTTTCTTCGGTTCCAAGTTGCCACAAACAACCCACCTCATCTTTTTCTTTCCTCCTTCTGGCCCTGGCTTTCTGGTAAAGACCAGCTTGGATGGGATGAACTCAATCCCCTTTCCTGACCTTTCAGCCTCCTTCTGCATCTTGTGGAGTTCCTCTGGATAGATTTCTCTGAAGGCCTCCTTTTCTTTGAGCAAGGAGTCAACCTCATTGGTGATGGCCGGGAGCCAATCGCTCCAGTTTTCGGCCACTTCACGTGGTGACACAATTCGTGTCTGCAAGACCTCTTCTTCTTCATTTGTCTCAGCTGCCATCTTCCTCATGTTGGCCAAAATGGCCATCTCATCCATCACTGTTTCAGGATCATCATTGATCATCATTTTCATCTCATCTTCGATGACCCTTATGTAGTTGATCCTCCTTTTCTTTTGATCTTCTCTTTCTTTCTCTTCAACATCATCTTCTTCGATCTTTCTGATCGCTGATTTTCCTCGAAGTCTTCGGCGGACCAAGAGGGCATCCACGGTGTCCTTTTCCAAGGCGAGCCATTGGTGCTCAGAGACGGGGTCTTTGGCCTTCTTCATGACATACCTCGTCACTCGTGGCGGCTCATCCTTCGGAAGGATCCAGTGGCCATGTTCTTCTGTTGCTGGAAAAAGGTATTGAACCGTTTCCGTCGTGGGCTCAAAAACACCCTTTCTCCATGTTCTTCTCCTCACCAAAACCTCTTGCAAAAAAGGTGGAAACTTCGGCTCTTCTCCAATCCTCCAGCTTCTGTTCAGGGCATCAGCATATCGAGCTGCAAGGGGCCAGAGTTCACTGCCAACATCAGCAGCTTTCAGCAATCGCCTCACCTGAGTTTTGAGGGTCTTGATGGCTACTTCAACTCGGCCATTTGCTCTGGGATCATCGCCCGAGGTGCGAGACAAAGCTATGCCCCGCGAGTTGGCCCATTTTTTGAACTGGCCGGCAAACTCCCTACCCCTGTCGCTATGGATGCGACCGATGTGGAAACCATCCATGCGAAGCCTGAGGAGCATGTCCATTGTGGTTCTTGTCACCTCCCTTGCGGTCTTGGTGATCATCGGAGAGGCCAGGCGGAAGATCTTGGTGTCAAAGCCACCTGGTTGAAGTTCTTTTTCTCCATCTTTCGGTTGTGAAGGTGGTAGCAGATATGGCGGCACTGGATGAGGTTTTTGAGAGAGCTCATCCTCTTTCTTTTCCCCATCTTCTTCACCCCAAACTTCTACCTTTCCTCCTTCTTCTTCTTCAGCCTCACTTCGTTCTTCTCTTTTATCTTCTAGGGCTTGGGCCCCTTCTTCTCCTTCTTCTTCTTCAGGGTGAACCTCAAAGTGAGGTTCATCTCCGTCAGCTTGTGGAACATGAGCATCTTGGAGCTTGTTTGACTCGGCTGGCACGGCCCATGTCAGAGTTCCAACCAGCATCCATCGAGCTCGCAAGCCACCCAGGTCCTTGGCAGGAATCAAAGGACCTGCAACATCCAGCGAGAGAACTCCTCCGACTGGATATGGTACTTTTCGATGTGGGTGTTGTTGTTGCATGGTTTGTTGGCAAACCAGGCAGTCTCGCCGATATGGCGTATGGCCATGTGCTATGTGCTCATCCCAGCTGAGAGGGCACATCTTCAGAGGCTGGCACTTCACCTGCAGCATCAAGGACTCGGCCACCATGTTCATTGTGCCCGGAGCCCATCTTGAGAGCTGAGCAGAAGACCTGATGTCCACAGAGGTTGGCCTTCTCATTCGATGGCTGTCGATGTTGAGGTGCATGTTGCCGCCCATTGTTGTTGGTTTCAAGGCCGCTCCTCCATGGTGTCCTTGACAAAACGTGGTCTCCTCAAAGTTGAACTCATCTCGCAAGAGCTTCCATTCGTTGGTGTCCCAAAACGACACGCATTGAGGCATGTACTCTTTGGGCGTTGCAGGCTGTTCCAAGAGGAATCCAATTGGTCGTTGAACTTGTTTGGCTTCTCTGATGTATGTGGCCACCATCCAAAGAAAGATGAACCTCCACATCAAGACGTCGTCCTCAAACACCTGCAACCGCTCTTGTTCAGAAAGATCTTTGAGGCCAAATTCTTCACCTCCCCACGCCCTGACTGGTCGCGGAGCATTTTCTTTTGGATAGTGCCTCAAAACTGACCTTGTTCTGCAGTTGGGTCCAGCGATGAAGGCCTCGACCTTATCGCTCATCACAGCGCACAGCAAACCGCTGTAAACTCCAGAGTCCATGAGGAGATTGTGATTCTCCCCACGTTTGATGTCCACCTCGAGGATGTCAGCTGGATTCCCACCCTGTTGCTGGTAGGCTCTTGTCAATGTGAACCCTTCAGACTGCCCTGCATAGAGATGAGCAATGAAGCCATCCCGTTGAAGTCTTCGTCGTTGACGTCGGTTGACAGGGAGATCACGCCAGGATCCAACATCCACCACCAAGCTTTTCTTGATTTCCGCTGGTAGTTGTCGAAGGACAGGGTGAGCTTCGACCAGAGCTTGCATCCAAATCTTTTCCTTCTCAAACTTCTTTTCTTCAGGCTTGGACTGGAGTGCTTTCGTCTCCAGCTCATCTATGAGTTCAAGAGCAAGAGCTCTTGGGATTTGAGGGCACCCCTCTTGAGGTTGTACTGGTAGAAGTCCACGATCAGGATGATGGATTTGAAGTGTTCCTTGGTTCCAATCAACCCTGCATCCAAGCTTTTGCACCAGCATACCCATGGGGATGATAGGCTCGACATCTTTGCGCTCGGAGACCATCACACCACCTGGAGTAACTTGAAGGGCAGTGCTCTCACCGTTGGCAAGGGTCACAGAGACCTTCTTGTAGTCGTTCTTGGATTCACCCAGACGCATCGGACGCAATGGGTGTGTGGCACCTGAGTCAACCAATCCCTGTTGGCTGCCGTAGTTGATCTGGTTGATCTTGAGGCCTTTGAGCTTCATTCGATCCAGTTGTTGTTGAAGACGATCCATCATCTCCTCTTTTGATTCCCCACCAGATTGGCTTTGGGAGGAAGTCGCACTGGAAGTGGTCAAGGACTTCAACATAGTGTTGGCCTGTTCCAGCAGTTCTTTCATGGTTGGACCTTCAGTCCCTTCATCTTCCTTCAACTTTGAGCTTGTTGACGAAGTGTCCTCCCCCTCAACCTTCTGAACCTTTGGCTTCTGCGGTGAGGACTCTCCTCTTTCTTTCGGTCTTGGGCACGCAGGAGACATGTGTTCTGGACTCCCGCAATTCCAACATCTTCTCTTTTCATCTTTTTGGTCATGAGACCATTGACAAGCCTTTCCCCTTCTGCATCCTTGATCAGAAAGGTAGAACTTGCACTTTCCTCTTGTCTCTCCTTCTTCGCTTCTCTTTGTGGGGGACCTTGCATCCTCCTCCAACTTTCGAAGCTTCGCAGCCTTCGGCTTTTCGACTTCATTCTGTTTGGATTTTGTGGCATCCTGCTTGGATGTAGTTGCATTTCCCCCAGGGCGCTTTTCAGAGATCGAGAGCTGCTCATATTCAGCAAGGAGGTGGTATGCGAACTGCTCCACATTGGTGTCGTTGGGAACCGTGTCCACTTGTAAACCACTCCTCACAAGGCTCACACGAAACTGAAGTTCTCGGTGCGCTTCAAGGGTCTTCTTTGACATCTTCAAGAGTCCTCGAAGTTGAAGACTCGGATCAGGAGCTACGGCCCCGATATCTTTAGCTCGGTGTCGCCAGCGAAGCCAACGTCGTAGAGCTGCTGGACCATCTTGGACAGTTGGGATCTCCGGAGGATCTTCAAGGTTCCGGAGCAAGTTTTGTTTCTCAGAGATTCCGCCAGGGCTGTATGTCACCAGCAAGTGCGTGATGACACCAAAGGTGGTGAGCCTTCTGGCAGCCACCAATTCACCACGAACTTCTTGTGGAAGGGCTTGAAGAAGCATAGTCGCAACCCTTCTTTCCAACCTTTCCCATTTTTGTTGAAGCACTTCTTCAGGTGTCTCAACCTTGTGTTGAATCCTGTCCAGAGGAGACAGGGCCATGTGCACCTTGTACCAGGCTTCAGCTGCTGACACCGATGTCTTCCACCACACGCTCGCAGACGTTGAGAGGTCTGAGATGATGGGCTCGATGATCAACAGCCAGTCTCCAAGGATCAAGGGTCCTTGTTGGGGCTCCCACGGAGCCAGCAAGGGGAGATCTGGAGCTCCAGACCTCACCGTTTCAACTCCTTTGATCACGCCTTCGTCCTTTGGCTTATGCATCTCCTTCATGGAGTCCATCATGAGTGCCATGAACTCCAAAGATCGCTCAGTGAAAGTGGTATTGGCTCCACTTCCATCATCCTTGGGTCTTTGACTTTGGGGGTCTGCAGCCTCCTTTGGTTGAGAGCTCCTCGAATCTTCGGCTTCATGCTTTGGGGGTCTCACAGCCTCCTCAGCTTTGAAACTTCGTGGATCCTGAGCTTCGGTCTTTGGTGGTCTCACAGCCTCCTTAAAGTGGGGGTCTGCAGCCTCCTTTGAGGGTGAGCCTGCAACCTCCTTTGAGTGGGGGTCTACAGCCTCCTTTGAGGGTGAGCCTGCAACCTCCTTTGAGTGGGGGTCTACAGCCTCCTTTGAGGGTGAGCCTGCAACCTCCTTTGAGTGGGGGTCTACAGCCTCCTTGGCACGGGAACCTGCAGCCTCCTTTGAGTGGGGGTCTACAGCCTCCTTTTTGGGTTCTTCCGGGGTGGAAAACTTCTGATCTACATCTACTCGCATGCTTTCCAACGTTTCGATTCTAGCCCTCAATTTTTGATTTTCTTCCATGATTCTTTCCAATTCCCTTCTAAGTTCAGCATGTTCAGAGGGACCAGGTTGAGGCATGTATGGAAACAGGTATGAAGCTTGATCCCCAACCATCCCAACTCCATGGACTCTACGCTCATCTTGCTCCAAAAACAAGGGTCTTGCTATCGGTTGTGGCACCATTGCGGGTGGTCCCAACAGCTGATTCCCTGGATAGAGCCAAGGTGCTTGGTTGTAGATTTCCTGGAATCTTCGAATCTGGCTTTCATCAAAAAGGGGAACTGAAGAAACATTGGATTGGGCAGCAGGTGTGGCTTCCACAGAAACAACTTGATGCGCTCGCCCAGAATCATTTTCCGCATACTGAGGTCCATTTGACATGCCTTGCACGTTCGATACCACCATTGCCGCAGAGGTCTCAGGAGTCTTGACAACTTCGGTGGATGCCAAAACAACCGCTTGATTTGAACCTGGGGCAGACTGAGGGTTCTGCTGCAGTTCGGAACGTTCTGATGGCGATACCTGAGTTTTCCTTGGTGTGGCAGGAACTGACTTCGCTGAACCTGACGACTTCGCAGCTGACTCCTGTGATGCCTTTTCTGCACCAGGAGGAAAGAAAGAATTCGGGGCACTGTTTGGCTTCTCCTCACTTCCCAGACTTTTATCCTTTGGATTTCCGGGGGACTCAAAAACCTCTGCCTCAGACCTTTCTTTGTTTTCTAACTGCAGCTCAGCTCCACTGGCCAGCTCTGCCTCCATACGTTGGTTGGCTCGTCGGATTTCATCTTCTCCTTGAGCTAGCTCTTCTGTTGTAGCCCGTCTTCGCTGCATCATCATCTGGAGCCACTGTGGCACGTTGGGCTCATAACCTACTGTTGTAGGTTCCCAAATCCTTAACCTTCAACTCCACCACCACCAAGTCGCACCTGCTTGTCGTTCTTTTCCAGGGTGCTATGGCTGCAAGTCAGCAGCATTCGGACTTGATTCAAAAGCAGCTTCGGTGACAGCCGCAAATGAAAAACAGCTGAGTCTGAATTGATATGGAAAATGGGGGTTGGAATGCATGTTATGTACTCTGAACACAGCAATAATATATGATATATGTTTATATTATAGCATGCAGGTTTCATTTCGCATGGGCCGCAGGTTGTGGTGTGTCTACGAATGGGTTTGCGGGCTGCTGATTCATAGCGCCATGGAGATCGAGATATTGGCCGATCCCTTCATTCGCGATTCCACCGTGGACACTTGGCGATTCAGGTAGCAATGTATAGAAATGGCGACTTTACATGAGTTTACCTCATCATTTTTAGGACTTAAGTGACTTACAGTAAGTGCCTATTTCTAAATTGTTTTATAGGTACGAACTGGAGAGTCTAGATAGTTCTAAAACCCAATCGAGTTGGGAGTCAGTTGTGCTGAAGCATTTTGAAGAAATCTGAGTATAGCTATTTGTTCGGAGTTTTGATGGTGGATGAATTCCTGGTTTTATTGGTACTCTGTACTCTGTCAGAACTCTGTTTAGTTAATGATCTAAATTTCCTGAATCAGACTGGGAGAACTCACCCTTCTTAAGCAATGGTGAATCGCTGGTTTGCGATGAGGTGCTTCTTTTCACGGGAATACCCCATATAACATCATATCAATAGTTGGACCACGGCCTTTAGAAGGCCGTGGTGTTTTGTGGACGTTGGGTGGGGTGGGGTGGGGTGGGGCATGTATTAACAGTCATGTGAACTTGCTGATGAAGGACATGCTACTCTGTGGCTGCCGGCAGGTGCATGTATTCATGGGTGGGGGTGGGGTGGGGTGGGGCATGTGTTATATAACGTTCATGTGAACTTGCTGAGTTTTACGTCTGAAGGACCGAAGATGTTTCGAGGTGTATCCAACATTGCTGGGACCTAAACGTTGGTCCGGTCCTGGAAGTCTTCAAAAGACTTCTTGCCAGCTCACATGATTTTGAAGCACAAAGACCGTGGGCATTCCACTTTGCACCCTTCAGTGACACAATATGTGTTCATGTGGTGCTGGCGTTCCAGCCCAGAAAATCCAGATCCTCAAAGGTTCTTGGAAGAACTAGAAGTGCTGCTCTGACCAAAAGACGACTCAAAACATGTCAGGGCGAATTAGTTTCAGCCTCAGCAAAAAGAAAAACAAAAATGCTAGTTTCGTCTAGGCGTAATACCTGTTTTGAAAAACTGCAACAGAATAAGGGGTTAACGGCCTTAAAAATCACATCAAAAATTCCTATTGGCACGAGCACATCAAACATGATCCATGACACCCCGTTGATCACAAAAACCCCGCGGCCTTCTAAAGGCCGTGCTCCTAGTTCTCCTTCCATTTGTCAGGGAATCCTTGGGTTGCAAACTAACTTATATAATCCCCCTGCCTATTTTCTGATGGGCCCACCTTCGCCCATATAAAGTTCAAACTGCTGTTTCTTTCTTTCAGAATTCCTCCAATCTTTGTTTGGTTTGGGTGATGTTTTAAGTTTATAGAGGATAGTACAAACAACCAGAAGCCACATTTTAAGTTTATAGCTGTCATATCCTGTCATGACCCGCCCAGTTGATTCTCCAGCTTAAGATTTTTGCTATATACCATATACCGTTTGTCATTTATTCGGGTTGGCTTGAACAGACGCCGTCTCTATAAAGTTCAGGGGTTCTCTATAAAGTTCAAACTGGGTTGGAAAAATGAGGTGAAAATTCAGAGCCTTTTTCCAAGGCACGTTGGAGTTTAAAGTTTTTGGTTTCACCCTTGATTGGGTGGGTTTTTGGTCTTGTAGCCACCTTCAACTTTATAGAGGCTCCATACCATGTGGGTGCTACCCACTTTGATTTTTATAGTGATGGTCTGGGGACCACTTTCCAATTTATAGCTACAAAGTTCGGGCCCCGACCCTCTGCCTGAATTCACAGGGAGATCTTATATATATATACACATACATAATGGCAAGCACAACGGAGTTCCAAGAATAGTGGGATGACCCTAAGCCTAAGCCATATTTACTACCCATGCAATACGTTTCTTGATATATAATATATACCCCAAGTCACTTTCGATATGTGCCGCCGCCATAACGCCAGGACACCTACCTCTTTTGCATCCGCAACTTCAGTGTGGCCAAGTGCTACTGCAATAACGAAAACGACCAGCAGTGTCTTGGCCAAATTCAACGTGCAACCGAGTGACGTTGAGGATTGCCTTGGAAAATCTATGGAAATCTTTGGGAAATCCATGGAAATCTGGGGTATAACCAGCAACAAATGGGGTAATGGGATGATACCTTGCAAGGGGGGTCAAAGTTATACGTTGATTTTTGAAACCCATCCAACACGATAATCCGCAGTAAAACTAATTATAACTGGTTTGAAACAACTTACGTACCTTTGGGGCCCGTTAGTGTGGGGAATTACAGTGATTGAAAATACATGGGTGGATACCTAATTGCCAGAGACACTCCCATATTTCTTCAAATGGGGGACCCCAAATCCTCCAAGTTACTAGTTCCTACAATAAACAAGTTAAAGGTCGTTTTTTCACACGGAAAGCAATGATTTTGAAGGTCCACCATTTTCTCTTGTGGGAACTTCCATACGTTCTACTGGGAAATCCACATGTTTGATAGGAAATGATAGGAACACCCCGGTCTTCACGATAAACATATTTGATTGGACTTGGAATGGAAAGAAAACTGAGATTGTTCTACCTTTTTGTTTGGTCGCCGGGTAAGCATTGAGAACTGGTTCATAATCCCAACTGGCGGTTTGAGGATTCCATAGGATTCCCAATCAATTAAACATGACCTTTAAAGAATAGTGATGAAGGTGGTGATGGTACACATTATTCATTTTGCTATCATCAGGTCGGTAGCTCTTACATGGTTCTAAGTGGGTTTATGGCAGATATATCGAACTGGTTGTGCTTGTCAGGGTTTGAAATCAACAAAGATAACTTGGGACACCACCTTATATGAGTTTAGCTATATATGTTTGTTGCACCAGTATTCTTCTGTCATCCCTGATAAAGTCCAATCTTATCAAGTTGAGGCTAGGAAGGCACCCTCCGGTTTCATCAAAAAGGGCCAGCGGGAAAATTTACTATTTGGCATGTTCCCAGCTATAAAAATGCATTATCCTACATTTACTTCAGGGATTTTGCCCATATTTTCCTAGATGTTCCCGTTGTTTCGGGGATGTCCACGTTTGATGATGCCGCAACGCGGGGATTTCCACGTCTTTTTTTTCCAGACTTCATGCCTCTGAGGACCTTGATCGACAAAGTCCACAGCTACTACAAGTCTCCTGGTTTGGAACATGGCTTTTATTTGGCCATATATATTGGGAATAATAATCCCAACTGATTTTCATATTTTTCGGAGGGGTAGGTATACCACCCACCAGACCCTTTGGTAATCAAGCGGGACTGGAAAATCCCTCACAAATGCTACGGCTTTTTTTTGTCGCGGGGAACATCATCGATAAATGCTGGATTTTCCATTGCCGTGTTTGATTGATGGGGGTATATGATGTATCTACACTAGATATGTTCACATAGACTATATTATGTATATATATATATATATGTGTGTGTGTCTTTATAATATATATATAGTCTATATTGTATCTATTATCTACACTAGTCTAGATTATATCATATATTATTTACAGTCTACATACACACAACGGTGAGAAAACATGATGGTAACGGAAATTGTTTTTTATGCTTTATGGACCCCTATGATTCATGCAATGATATCCTCATTCGTGACTCTATGAGTTGTTGGGTATTTTAGTGGCTTATATTATCTTGTATCACCTTATTAGGGATGGGATGGGAGCTTCTTGGAGTGCACGTCCATTGAATAAGTGCGGTATCTGTCATCATAGTTGCAGGATGAAACTACCAGTACAATGATCTTACTGTTCTGTCCATTGAAAGAACCCCAACTGCACCCCCAAGCACTTGCCAAGGTCTGTGAGTGATTTTGAACGCTTCTTTCAATTTTCCGCCACTCGGACACCGCCAGAAGCCGGGGACGCGCACGATTTTCGGGGACAAGTGGAGGACCATTCAATCTCACTGACTGTTGGGGTAGGGATTTTCAGGGGTCCTTAATTGCAGTTCTTTTGGTTCTGAATTCGGAAATTGTGATGAAATAGTCCCCCTCCAGACAATGACATGTATTTAGCCAAAAGTGAAACCTTTCCAACATGTGAAGATTATTGGAAAACAACATGCTGGATGTTCAAAAAAAAAACATGTTCTTGCTGAAAACCAGTTCCGCTGAAGTCCCAGTTCAGCAATCCCAGTTCAGCAATCCCAATCTGTTTAAAACGTCAGCAGTGTTTGTTTGATATTGTTTCTTCATCATAAATCAACTAGAAATCACCATAGAGTCTTGCTTAAACCGCTGTGAATTTACCATTCTGGTTGGTTAAGTCACTATGCTTGTTGGTGAACAGCCCTATTGCGAATGGTTTTTCTAAACCTGTTCTGACGGCATGGCATGGCAAGCAGCCATAGAAATCAGCGTTCATTATCATCCCTTTGCTGAGCATGTTCTCACTCAAAAAAGTCACCATTCTTCATGGTTCAGTCTGGTTCAGTCAGCATTTCTCAAAAAAAATGTCCATTCACCACGATTTTTCATGGTATTGACCTTGGATCGCTGAAACCACCATTTTCAACGTCAAAAACCACAATTTTTCTGCAGGTGATCGTCTGCTTCACCCGCTGTTTGGTGAAGCGGCGCACCGGGAAGAGCGGCACCTTAAAGCCTTGGCGACTCGGCAGTGGTGCAAGTGATGGGCTGATGATTCTCTCATTTACACAAGGTGGTGCCCAAAAACCTTAGCTAAGTTGGTGCCAGTAACTCCAATAACTATGACCACCACAGCCTGTTGGAGTGGCCCAGCACCCAAGATCGGGAACACTGGGGAAGCCGGCAATCAAGATTGCGCTATTTGAAATGCAGCCGGCCAACACGAATACCGAGCCGCATCACCCACTGGCTACACAGTGGAACAGTGGAGGGCCGAGCTACCCTCCACACAACAGGAGTGAGGGTTGGGCGCAGTGGAATTTCGTGGCCGCATTCATCGACTTTCGCCGAGTGCATTTCTGGACGGTGCTATCAAGCCCTGAACGTCGAGGATGGATATATCATGATATATCGATAACTAATTACTATAGTTTATGGTTGGCAAGATCAGTGTGAGAATCATAGCCCCATCTGCAGTACCCCCAGCTGCAACTTGGCACATCACAGCAGATCGAGCGAGCTGAGGGAAGGATTGCCCCACTTAGAAACTGGTTAGTATAAGTGGCGTTATAACCCGGTTGTCAGTGGGATGAGCCACTATAGAGGGGACTTACTAAACAGGATTATGACCTACTTGTTCTGCGGGATGATCTTCCAAACAATGGACGTGCTTACTTGGCTAGCAACTTGAGGAGAAACCAGGATAGCATGTGCTAGCCGAAATAGAGCAAGACATCGGTAGATGTAAATTAAACACCTGGATGGTGTAGAAAACCAAACGCTAATACGGCTTGAGTGAGATTTATTGAGTTGGGATAGGCTTTCACTTTTTGCGAATGTGTTCCCTCAGAGCTGTGGATTTATAGGTAGGTTTGAATTTGCCTGTTACACTGGGTGTGTCTAAACATTTTGGAAACTGAAATACCGTGCAAAAGAGCAACAACCACAAGTATCAAGAGTATGATTACAGTATGATTATGATAGGAAATAGTAAACCCTAAAAGTCCCAAGGCCGTACTTTTTGAGTCCTTAGGAAAAGTGCCACAAAAAGGGATCATCGCCGAGAAACCATAGCAATGCCGAGGTTCTACGGCCGAGGGTTTACAGCAATGTTGTTGGATTCTACGGCCGAGGGTTTGTAGCAATGTCATGGTTTCTACGGCCGAGGGTTTATAGCAATGGATGTTTGGCTTCCATGACCCCCAATCAAAATGTGATGCATGCACTCACGATTTCTCACGATTTTCTCACGATTTTAGATCGCTATATTGTACCTTTTAGGGCCTTAACCGTTCCTTTTTGGTCCTTTTAGAGGGCCTACTCACGAAAACTCACGATTTCTCACGATTCTAGATTTGTCCTCATTTTGGACACGATTATAGCATATTATATAGCATGTTATAGCCACGTTTCTTTTGAGGTCTGGGACCTCAAAAGGTACATCAACAGGATGTTTATAGCAACGTTCCTTTTGAGGTCTGGGACCTCAAAAGGTACATCAACAGGATGTTTATAGCAACGTTCCTTTTGAGGTCCGGGACCTCAAAAGGTACATCATGAGGATTTTACATGGACGTTCCTTTTTGATCCACTTTCTACGGATTTTCATGAGGACGTTCTTTTTGAGTCCCTGGACTTCCAGGGAAATAGATATAATCATCACATCATGATCATGATACTAACCATGGCCTGCTATACAAGACCACCGTTTGCTTAATCGAAGAAACCAAATCCGCCCCGATTCCTGTGGTGAGACACCCTGATCCAAAAACGTTCGTTTCGCCCACGAAGGATTGAGTTGGCAGCTGCCTGCGGTTTCAAAGACCTGGCACTGGAACTTCGGCAGCTCGGGAAGAGTGTGGCTAGGTGCCTTGACGCAAGCCGCGACGATGGGTATGGCCGTGCAGCTGACCGGTGCCCTCCCAGTTCTGGAAAGGTGTGGGATGCCAATGACGTAGCATAAGTTGACCATAGTTAGAAACCAATCACCTTAAGTATAAATCTGGGAGGCCAAAAAAAGCATGGTATCGAAAATTCGCCGTGGGGGTGGAGATTGATGGGTTTTGTAGTGTGCGTCGCTGGGGGGGATCAACAAACCAGAAAGAGATCTACGTATACCTTCCGGTAATGAAACATGGCTAGCTGGAAAATTCTCATTAAAACCATTTAAAACCAGTATTTGTAGGTAGGGAAATTCCCATTGCAATCCATCGCATATATATAGTTGATTACTGGTTGGGTTTTCGATGGTTTTTTTTAGCCTGGACCTACCCATCTCAGCTCGACCCCCACTTAAAGGATCATCGCACTTCTCATAACTGGTGAGTGTTTGTGGGGTTAGTTCACCCACTTATTTTAATAGCTGTCATAGCTTATAAATCACGATTTTTTACCTACTTCGTGAACAAGTCCTAACCAGGGTTACTAGTTCCGTTCCTAAGTTAGATGATCCTTGGAGGATCTCCAAGATTTGCTATGAATACCCTCTGGTAAACATACAAGAAGCTATTGAAAATTGTCATTTATAGTTGATTTACCTATAAAATGGTGATTTTCCATTTAGTTTTTTGTATGTTTACCAGTTTACCAAGAAGGATACATGGTTGGCTGCTAGTTTTTCACCTGAACCCCAGGTGCAAAGGCTGAAATCACTCAGCATAGACCCCTAACAAAGGGCAACTTTCAGCATCTTTCGGCTTTATTTTTTCGGTTAGACCAGTTTTGGTTTATATATTTGTGTTAACACTATATAGTTGTTTGGTTGGTTATGTAATATTATGTAAACTAATGGTTCGTAGTGTTAGACAGTGATCCGTCCACAAAGATCGCATTCGTATTCGAAACTTGCTAAATGTCCTTTCATCTCTGGTTATGTATGAATGTATATATATATATATGCCATGTGTGTTTCCCAATCATTGTCTGTGTCTATATCTACCCTTGTATGCATATGTATATACCCTAGAATGCCCCAGTCACACTTACTTCTTGAGAAGGCACGGCTGGGTCCATAGGGTATATATGTATATATGTCTGTGTTTGCACAGAATATGCGCATGAATGTATATATATATATAATATGTTTCCATGTATATATATATATATTATATATGTATACATAATTATATGTATATGTATACATTTGTTATTGCTGCTTAACAGGCTCATAATATATATATATATATCATTTACATATGTCAATGTCTATCCTATATAGAGATAGATATCTTCACAATTCATAAGGTAACATCAATCTACAGATAATCCATCATTTTTCAAATCGCCATGGTTTTCCCAGAGTTTCCTATGGTTTTCCTCTGGTTTTCCTGGTGAAATCACCATTTCCCAGTGCGAAATTCCCCATGGCACCGCTGACGGCACCGCTGACGGCGCTGGCAGATTCCAAGAGGAGGCGGCGCAAGAGACCACTGGCGGCAGCACTCTTGAGTTGCAAGTGGCCTTTAGTGACCTGACTTCGCCACGGTCATCGGGTGATCTGGTGAACATTTAAGATCATTTTAGGAATTAATGATAATCCATAGTAAAAAACTTGAGATTTGAATATTGCGATTTGCTTTAAAACTAGTTCATTGGTTCATTAGTTTAGATAGTTTTGAGTTCGTTGATATGTGAACGCTATCTGTCAAACAGTTGGCACCTCATGGGATCAGTCTCTGCTCAGATCTGGCTTTTCCTTGCCAATTCGGCAACTCCTTGTGTGTTTTGGGGGTCCTAAAATATGGGCGAAATCACAGATTTGTTGCTGAAAACCACCGACCTTCAGGTTCATGTTTTGTTTTGTTTCATTGTGAAAATATCTTCGCATCAAGCATGGGGATCGGGATTCCAGACCAGGATCAGGGTTTCTGAGGAATTATGCAACAGGAACTTTAAAAAGTCATACAATGATGAGTCTGGAACCTGAAAAGTGCATGGTTTGTTGTTTTTTCCCAGCAGATAATTATATATATACACATTAATAAATGTATATACAGTATAGGGTTCAAAGTAACGCATTACAAACTTTCCCAACCAGAGTTCGCTGGGATGGCAGGGCCCCATTTCAACAGCAGAAAGTCTGGGATACAATGTATAATATGATAGATACATATTATTTTTTTATGTATATATATATATGTATTATAAGTATAATTAGTCATATATATATATAAATAGCAATTTATAATATGCTAGATTTTTGACTTGCACCCATACATATATATATATATGTTCATTTATACATGCATACGGGTTATTTTGTTTCAATGGACCTTAGGCCATCACCATCCCTATTTTCCAAACTAGAGAATTCACGTATATGATATTCCCACCATACTGGTTCCGAGTTTCAGAAATATGTTGTGTTTCTAAATTGGGGAGCATATGTTTTTTTTTTTAGACTGGTTGAAACCACCAACCAGAATGCAACTTTGCCAAGTGCAGACATGTGGAGATGTCATGCAGAATCAAGCACGGTGATTTTTTCCAAATTGGCATATAGACCCAACTAGTTTTCTGGCAGGATACAGATGGGCCCGGGCCTCTCCTCAGTGGAGCATGCAAAGTGGTGCCCCATAGTGAGCTAATCAAGTAGGTTAACTAGGGTTTATCTGGTTGGTGGTTTTGGAACCTTTTCTATTTTTCCATATATTGGGAACAATAATCCCAACTGACTTTCATATTTTTCAGAGGGATAGGTATACCACCAACCCTGTATGGTAGATGTATCTGTAGTTCATGCTGTTCATAATGCTACAACTGGGAGCACCACCTTATAGCCACTTTCGGGTTTTCCGTGCTTGCTAGCGCGCCACCCAAAACTCTAAGGCTCTAGAGTGGACGAATCTTGGATGGTAAGATGGTAACTGGGTGGTTTACCCTCTGGTAACACAGCTATGGAGAATCATCATGTTTAATTTAGTAGGTGAATCGTCATAATATCATCTTTAAATGGACACATTGTCCATAGTCCATATTTGTCCATGTTCCATAGCTATGTTAAATAACTGGAGGGTACCCCGCTGGTTGGTTAGTTACTTCATGTCTTCCATAAATGGGTTCACGGATGGTTCACGGTATCTAAGTTCGGCCTGGGAAAAGGCGGGGAAAGATGCAGAAAAGACCTTATATAGCTCATTTTGCTTTGCCTTTTTTCCAGCAGCACAAAACTCAGCTTTTCATTTGAGTGTGGAACACATTTGAAAAACAAGTTTGCTGTCGTCACTTTTTTTTCAGCAATTATAATGCATTCGACATAAAACAAGTGTGTGTTTTTGATTGTCCTATAGGCTTTTGCGAGTCAATAAAAAGTGAAACAAAACATGAAGAAATCTTGATGCCAGGCGGTGCCTCGAAGTTGTTGTCTTAAGATTCAGATTCGTGGATCATCATGTTAACATATCATATGGGGGGGTTCGATAAATGGGGGATCCCCAAAATTGATGGTTTATAATGGACAAACCGCCTATTATAGTGGACGATTTAGGGGTACTGCCATTTTCGGAACCCCCATATGATTAATATGATTCAACCATGTTCAGTCTCATGTATTTGTGTTCATTGAATCCATTCATTGCTCAGTCTATCTCAGTCTAAACCATCCATATTGAGGCACAGTACCAATCATGTGCTGTCCAGTTATATTTGCTGGGTTATTAAAAAAAACTAACTATATATATATATATATATATACACCATAAATCCAATATATAGTTCACCAACTTAGTTCCACCAAGCAAGCGATTCTGCCCTCACTCTTTCCTTACGACCTGCCGAGTCCCTAGGACTGGTTCCGACAGAACATTGCGCCCTTGCTGATTATTGAGCAACGAAAGGCCACCAATCACCTGGGGATCCGATACATCCGAACTCTGCGCCCTGGCGTCGAAGGGAAAATGGAGGGAACATGCCCAGGACTAAAGCGGCGGGAAGACACGGATCCTGATTCTGAAGATGTGTCAGATTTGGATGAGTTTCTGATTTTCGTCGCAACATTTTGCATGGCTTCATGGGGCCCATTTGGTGATGGAAGTGAACTCGTCGGAGCGCGTAGAGTCGTAGAGCGCGACCCGACACAAAGATGGGTAAAGGGGGTTGCACCCCAGAACAATCCCCTGACCCATGGGAACTTTCCTTCCCCGCTTGGATGTGGTGAAGTGGAATGCATACTGGTTGAGCGATGTTGAGTGCATTTTCTTCATGTTTTCATCTGGCAATTTGTGGACAGTTACACACCTGGTTGGTTTGCCGGGTGACTGTGTGACCCTCACCCGTTGCCACTGACTAATCAACCAGGCTTTCTTGTTCCCGGGTTGCCATGAAGCCACTAGTCACTTTATTTGGATGTCTTGGTCCATGTTCAACACTGGGGAAGATCTACCCTCTGGTAAACTAACACAACTATGGAAAATCACAATTTTCAATAGGTAAATCCACTACAAATGGCCATGTTCCATAGCTATGTTAAATTACCAGAGGGTATACTGTGGGCAACCAAAAAACATATTAAAAACCAATGCAGTAACCCTTGTTTTCTTTTGGTCAAGGGTATCATTGGGTGAACATTTCTACAATGTGGCCCCCCATTGGATCAAAGTGTTGCAGCAACTCGGGTGACGTACTGTGACTTCAGGTGTTCCCTGGCCGAGGAGATCAAGCATCTTGGATCAGAGTTTTTTTCAGATGAAGTCTATGGCTGTCTGAAAATGGTGACTACCCCAGTTTATGAACATTTAAGAACAGGGAAATGATGATACGTCATGGGATTTTGGGATACTCTATTTTCAGACAAACCGATATGCAGGTTCCAAAGAAAACGGGGGTTCTACCACGAAAAATGGGAGTAGAACATGGTAGAATGGGATTGAATGGGATGATATAGAGGTATCCAAAGTCATGGGTACCCCAAATCATCCAAGTCATTGTCATTCATAACCATGACTTTACAATGAAGCATATTGAAACCCATGGTGACTTGGAGATCCAAAACGTTTTAAGAAACCCCCGTTTTTCGTGACTTCACGCCTTCACGATGTCACTGGGAATGATCCCCACATGGCCGGAATTATGCTGTACTACATGGAACATATGGGGATCAAAGAGAGATTGAGAAGGGACATATTGTGGTACCAGTCAACACCTAATGATATTCCATTTTTTTGCCGGATGAACATCCATCTATTCCGTTTATTGCGATACAAGAGCCCTAGATTGGCGCACCGGATTGACTTAGATATGCGGTTCGAAACCGGAGATGTTTCACACAAAGCGTGGCGGATTCTGTGCTTCAGCGACCCCATCCCATGTCAAAAGTCATGTGTTCTGTATTTTTTCTTCCCACACTTGTGGCTACAGAAGAATCACAAGAGCAAGTTACCCTCTATCAATTTAACATAGCTATGGAAAATTGCCTATTCATACATATATATATATATATTATGATAACATATTGCTGTAAGAGTCATGATTTTCCATAGCTGTATTAGATTACCAGAGGGTAACCACCCATACTGGCCCATACCCAAGAACAAGTGTATGTCCCACCCCATTCACAAGT